GAATGAACACAAATAAATGAGTATCTAATGTTTAAACTGTAGGACATGAAAAAAAATAGTTGCATGGTTATAATTCACAAGAATTTTGAATCCTTGCATTTCACAATAAACGTAATTAATATTTTACATTAATCATAATTACTACGTATACGTTACTAATTTTATACCGTTTACGTATGGTTTGATAAGTCTCTGCTTATATTTTGTATAGAAATAAAATAGAAAGTTAGACTTGAAGAAGAGATTGATTTGATAAAAAAATTGCCATTAGTAAATACTTTACGTTTGTGTTTATTGATAGTATACTTTAAATTTCTGGAAAAGATTTATTAACAATTAGGAATGTATGTTAATTGAATTTTAATTCTTTTTTTGTTTGTAATAGTTCAAACTTATAGCATCTAAATCTTTGCAATGCTTGTGCGATTTTGAAAATTGTATGCATTGTGTTGACCACCTACCCTACATATGTCTTGCCGTTTATTTACATAATATTACTTTATTATTACACCCTCAATAAAATCGGATTTAAAATCTGGTTTGACAACAATATTGGTTTGCGTTGACACAAATTCCGGATTTAATGGCAAAGAATCCGGAGTCAAACCACTTGAGGTAGTATGACACCCGAATTCAACTAACATTAGATTTGAACCTAGAATAAATATACGTGATACGCAAATCCATAAGTTATCCAGAATATCAGTGCGTGTGCTTGCCATTTACTATTTCTTGCGCAAGAAAGCTACGTGCATGCGTAAACATTGATTTCACACGTAGTCACTGTAGGTGATTTTTTACATTTCTTATCTAAATCTAGGACACGGCAATAAGAGCTTAACGTGATTTTGAAGCATGCTCATCATTGAGGTACTCCGACATCTAGTTGTTTTTCTAATATTTTTCTTTCTTTTTGAGTGACTGTCCTATTATAAATTGAAATTTTCGAAATACTAAGGATAACCCGAGGAATAGATTACCTTCGCTGTATTTGGCAAAACTTTTCGGAATTTTGGGTCCTCAATGCTCCTAAACTTTGTTCTATATTTGGCCTTTTTAAATGTTGTGTAGTCGTAACGCGCGTCTGGCGTACAAAACTTTTATCCTGACCACGTGTCCATGATGAGTTTATTGACTTTTACCAAATATAAATTGGTTCTTTTGAGTGCCTGTTCGGGTATTCACAATACTTATGAAAACAAGATATTTTTCAAAACTAAGTCTTCCTGTCGAATTTTTGAATTGATTTAAGTTACTTCAGGAAATCCTTAAAATTTGAGATGTTTTATCTGACCAAATAATTGTACGTATATAAGAGGTCCTATAAAAGCTGGCGTGTTACTCTCAAGAACATCATACGAAATATTTTTATAATTTGTGTCACAGAGTTACACTTCATATGGAAATTGGACTTTCAATTTCTCTATACAACCTATTCCATGAGTACAGACAGCTTCAATGAGTATAAGAATAATTTAAAGCATCCAGGATACAAAATATGAAGATATGAAAAATAAAATAAACGCATCCAGATTATGAAGCAAACTGAGTGCTGAACTTTATATCTTGATCGGTCTGTGCAATTTGCTTTAGACATCCGGTTTGCAGAAATTGAGAATTGCAATAGGATTAGGTCTTTGTACATAAAACACGGAGAAAAAATGTTGTACACTCCAAAGTAATAAATAAAATAGTCAAGCCTTAACAGATAATTTCAAATGGTAGCAGTATACAATTTTCTATTTACAACTAAAGTCCAACAGTGCTTTTAATTGACTTGTGCAAGAATCTACACACAATAACATATTTTCAAAAAAGGTGTTTTAATATATTCATTACCCCATTCTATTACCAGTCAATATTTCAAATGAAAAGCAAAAATAAATTCAGCAAAACATATTTGGTGACCAGTCAGCGGTCTTGGGTTCACGTATTGCTTTTCTTTTTTTTTAAAGAAAGCAACTTGTTTCATAGTGTAAACATTAATTGCTTGACAATGTGTTCAGAAGACTTTGTACAGTTTATGTCTTTTTAGTTAAATTATACAGAATGTATTTCGAATACAAGTGGATAATCTAGAGCGACTTTAAGCATAACGATCGATCGATCTTATCGTTAACAATTTTTTTTTATATAAACGACTACATGTATTTTCATTTAAACTTAATATACGGAGTAAACCGAGTAAGCTAAAAAAAAACTTGCTTTTATAATATATTGCTTGACAATGAAATATGTTCAATGTGTTTAGAAGACTTTCTACAGTTTTTGACAATCTACATAGTTTAATTCAAATATGACCTAATTAAGCTGTTTCACCGGCAGGTTCAGTTAGCAATGAGAGTATAGTTTTATCCTCTAGCAAGACCTTTATCTCCAAACTATTATACTAACACCATAATGCGCAATGGGCATCAATGAAAGAGAACCAGTCATAGATGGTTTCATTGTAAAATCATATCGGAGTGAATGCGTGTATTTTTTTTAAACATCACTTAAATACCTTTCATTTAGCCTCTGTAAGACCGAAAGCAGATACGGAAGCTGAACCATTCTTAAAGACAAGATTCTTTAATTGTATTCCATTTCAATTGCAACTTGACAGTAAAATACATAGTTCTAGTTTAATAGTCAATTATTTTTATAGTCTAGAGTTTCCTGGAAGACCCTAGTGCGTGTTAGTTACTGCCCCGTCTCCATCTGATCTTCTTTTGTTACCATTTTTATCTACGTAATTATAATCTATCTTTCAACAGTTGAAATTATTTCAATCACTTTCTACATGTGAATAATTCATTAGGCTCATTTGATGGTTGGCGATCAATAACAATCATGTCCTTCTTCGCACTTGTAAAGTTCTAATTTGCTTCCTTCTTACTCAGAATAAGATTACTTTAAAACGTTCTACGTGTAAATTGCAATAGTTGAAATAATTCAATATGTCACTGGATACATATACATTGTAGTACTGTAACTGTTCATCATCATTGGTTCACAATTTTTGAATAAAAAGTTGAAATTTTCCAGTCTAAGATTTGAAAAATGATCAACAGTGTTCTAATTTGCACAGATGTTATATGATTGCCAATGGGACGAGGAGGTAAACAACTGCATGTCACCGTACGGCCTACACTAACTTTTACGATCTTTGATATATGTGGATAAATGTGAAAAAGCATCTTAATGATTGCTACGCTCTGTACAAATATATCAACTTATTTTACGCTTCGGATGGACGGAGAGCACGCAAGGGATTATTATAACGTTAATTTTATATAGGTGTCAGACCACCAATTCACCCACTCCAATTTAGAACAAATGTAAAAGTTGACCTTCCCTGACAAAAAAATAGTGCTTTTGATGTCATTGTTTACTGAAACTAACCAACAAATTTGCAGAAATGAATTTTTTGGTGAAAAAGAAATATATTTAGACTATTTTGAGCTAAAATGTACTTGTCCATGAGTCTGCATTAAAAATTTAGGATAAATGCACTCCATTGTAATCTTATTTAAGATTTCCAGAAAACCAGGGGTTATTTTAGATGTAGTTACCTTCCGAACGCTCGTGTTTCATTACAAGATTTTATACATTGGTTGAAAATTGGCACGTAGAAAGGTGATACATGTACAATTCAAGATATACCTCCATTATATGAAATTAAACTTAAGGCAAAATAGTTAGAAAACTGTAGAAATTGAAAAAAATGGTTGACAAGATAGAGATTTTGAATTGGTGTTCTAACACCTATATGTATGTGTGTGTGTGGTTATTTCCTAACAAATATAAGCCTCTGATGTGTTGTATGTATTTATGCCCGTCTGATGTGTTGTATGTATTTATGCCCGTTTGATGTGTTGTATGTATTTATGCCCGTTTTATTAAAGTTATCCAAAGTCTGCAATATGCAATGCCAAAAGAAAATAAAAAGTGAGAGTAATTTTATTTCAATGAATGTTTATGTTCAAACATTTTTTAACACTTTTCAAAAGCCAAGCTTTCTTATGAGAAAGCTTTGTTTACCAATGAATTTTTTTTTACATAAATAATCCGCAAAAGTACTCTGTGCAAACTGGCGAAACTTTGGGATGCTTGGTCTTTCAGGTGGAGCATTACCTGATTGTCAAAATGTATAAAGGTAGCATCAGCATAATGCCAATATTACGCAAAAGAGTCTTTCTAGTAGTGAGAGTATAATCAGTTCAATAGTCAATATTCACTGAACAGGTATCTGATAATTTGAGATAATATCGGACTAAAAGCCTGCAAAAAACTGCAGTACATTTTAAATAAATTATACTAATACATTATAAAGTATTTCTTTTGTAAATTGAAACTAATAGATCGAAGTATAATAGCGAAACTATGGAATGTTTGGTTCTTCAGGTGTACGCAATACTTGATTGTCAAAATGTATAATATTAGCATCAGCATAATTGTGTTAATATTACACAACAAGTTTTTTTCGTGGTGAGTTCAGTAGCCAATGTTCACTGGTATCTGATAATTTTGATAAAATCGGACTAAAAACCTGCACAAAGTTGCAGTACATTTTAATTAAGTTATACTAATGCATTATAAGTACTCCTTTTGCAAATCTTAAAACTAATGGATCGAAGTGTAATCAATTTTTGTCTTCGAAAAATGATCATGGAATCATCAACCTTAATAAACCACACGTTATACCATACTAATACAATTACACTAAAACAAGTTAAGGCAGCTGTAATGATTGCTTGGGTTTAATTGAAGCTTCAGTGATTCCTAATTTTAATATTTCATACAGGTTTTTGACTTGATCATGTTCACATATCTTATATTTTTCCAGTGTTAATATCGGTCGGATTTCCATACAAAAATTACCATTAACCTGATAAATCATGTTTCAATTCTGAAATTTAATCTAAATTTAATCAATAAATCACCAGAGTAAAACACACGATCTTAAGATGATATTTCAAACTGAGCGAGCATTAGACTACATGGACTGTATCATATTTATTAATTTTCATCAGAAGAGAATATCTTTTATACATTTCTTGATGTATTAAGTTAACTTCAATTAAATACTTTTTTCTTTTTCAGATACCGCAAATAAGTTATGCTTCTACTAGTATTGATCTAAGCGATAAAAGCAGATATGAATACTTTTCTAGAGTTGTTCCCCCTGATTCGTATCAAGCACAAGCTATGGTTGATATTGCTGAATATTTTGGTTGGAACTATGTTATAACTATTCAAGATGAAGGCAACTATGGAGACAAAGGAATTGGTGCTTTTAAGGAAAGGGCAACTTTTTCAGGTACTTTCAATAATTTATATAGGAAAGTGCAACTCGGAGGGCATTTCTCATAAATGAGTCCTCTCGCAGATAAAATCAATGTATAACAACGTTTTTGTCAGTTTAATGGTTAAGGATAGAACCAAAAGATTGCATATAGAATGAAAATATCAATATGATCGTTTATATTTGATATTAACACCAAAAAAAATTCAACACAAATTCACATCGTACCAATTTATAGTTTATTAATAGGCACCAAAATGATGGAAAATAAAATTATCGATGTTTGTAACTCAGACTGTTAGATCCGCATCTATGTTCGACATTCAGAAAAACAAAATTGCTTAATCCGGTAATAGAGCCCATCTGAACTTATACTGAGGTGTGAGCTTTTGATCCGTTGAAAAACACTCATTTCACAATCACATGAAGATCAGGAATAAAATTGCTGTTTAAAAAAAAACCAAAAAAACTGTACGGTGTCCACTATATATCTATATTTCGGAAATGTTTTATAAATTGAGAATGAAAATGGGGAATGTGTCAAAGACACAACAACCCGACCAAAGAGCAGTAAACAGCCAAAGGCCACAATTAAATGGGTCTTCAACACAGCGAGAAAATCTTGCACCCGGAGGCGGGCTTCATTTCCTGTATGTGTTGCTGATACATTATAATTAAGTAATACTTTACACATTCTCCCCTTTATCAACGGAATTACATAATATATGTCGTACTACCAAAGCATTAACTATCAAAGTGCCAGTCAGAACACTGATATTTGAATTTAATAAAACTAATCTAGTTTTGACGTTATTTTCACATATGTGAAATCACTTTAAGTTAAAAAAAAATGAAGTAATGATTTTAATTTACTTTTCCAGGAATATGCATCGCCAAATCATTTGTGATATCACGCGACCCGACGAAAGATTTATTTAAAGAGACAGTTGATGACCTATTCAAAATTAAAAAAGCAAAAGTGATAGTAATGTTTGTGAACGAAGATAATGCAAAACATCTTCTAGAGGCAGTCATGCATGCAAACAAAACGTCTGAACTCTGGTTCCTTGCTAGTGATAGCTGGGGAGCTAAGGTACATCCGGTTGTGGGCCAGGAACAAGCGGCAGAAGGAGCAATTACTTTACTTCCAAAAAGATCCGATATTAAAGGTAATCTCAAAGTTTAATATCAGATGTCAACAATGTCTTACCATTGTCAGGAACTGAATAATTGCAATTAATTCATTTATAGCAATGGGCTGAATATACACAAATTTTAAAATATTATAGAAATCTTGAAAAGAATATACCCTATACAACCTTATTTCTCAAAATATCCAATGAGATGCATTGCAAGGTCAAATTGACCATCAAAATATACAGTAATAAGTAACACTTTATTATTCGAGACGTCTTGTATGTTTCGAAATTTATGTACAATTAACACAGTTATTCCACATGATCTCTTTAAATTCTGACTTTAAAAATTCAATTAATATTAAGATAGCTATTATGCATTTTCTATTAACTAGTATTTTGTAAACAAATGGTGTTTTCATGAAAATGGAAATTAAATAAGGAAATCCGAGTGTTTATAGACGAGACAAAACAATAATTTTAGTTTTTTTTTTAATAAAGTCTTACGCAATAAATGGAAGGCTATACATTGCAGGGCGCAATAATGAAACTACTAGGTCAAATACAGTACAGTAATCAGAGCAAAGGCTGGTTATGGATTGTTCGATTATGGAAGTAAAAATCAACAGAAGAAAATTATACGAAATAACATTAATGGGATCTATGTCATATATGTTCACTTGATCTTCGTCTCAAATATAAGATTGACATACATTGACAAATATTGTAAAATAGAATTTCTTTAAAACCTACTATTGTAAGTTTGCAATAGCAGGACGTGACCATCTTGAACACCTTGAAAAGTGACAAAATCCTTAACTTTGAATAGCCTTATGTTCAGTGGCAAATACTTCATGCATATTCAGGCCGATTTTGCGATTGGTAATACAAAATTAAAAGATGACGTTTTACTTATTTATATGTTCATGAGATACGACAGAAAAGAAAAAAATGCCCAACATCCTGCTATTTGATCAAATATACTTTAACCAGTCCATACTTCATCGTCGTGTTATTAAAATAATTGAAAGTTTTGTTACAAGAACTTTGACGACACATTTGTTTCTCTTTTCAGAATTTGATGACTACTTCTCAAATCTGACATTAAAAAATAATAAACAGAATTTATGGTTCCAAGAATACTGGGGAGAAGTTTATAACTGTTCAAAAGGGAATATAAAGCTACACAATTGTACAAAACATAAATATGAACAAGAAGGACTGGTACAATTTGTCATTGATTCGGTATATGCCTTAGCTCATGCGCTCCATAATTATTTACAAAGTAAATGTACAACAGTTATGAAACATTGTCCTTTACTGAACTCACCAAATAGACAAGAGTTGTTGGAGTTTATCCGTAATGTATCTTTTACAGGTAGGTACACTATTTATTTGTTTTTAAAAAGTTTACATACGCATGTCGCAAGAAATCTCTTTTTCAATTTTGAAAATTGTTTGAGCTCTCGCACCAGCGTTGTGAAACTTGAACCGTCCGATTTAAGGCAATGTTGTTCGTATCGCGCACCGACTTTATATCATATATACCGAAATAAGAAAATCACTTAGTGTTGAAGTGCTTAACTAAACTTCACTACCCGTGACCGTATCTATAGAACATCATACAATTTCCCATGAAAACTACACAGATGACAACTAGAGTATAGTGATGGGAGCCATTACTGAGGGCCCCGCTCGAGGTGATGCAAATCAGATCTATCCTTAAAAGTAATCAGTGTATTTCGAATTTAACCTAGCTGTTACCCACGGAAGGCAGAAATTTTTCGATTCACCACTATTTTTCATCCCCAAACCACAAAGGGGTTTTAATGTTAAAAAGCTGAAACAATTTTTGTACATGTATACACTAGGATGGCTCAGTTTTTTACCTGACATTTAAGTGTACGGTTTTCATCCTTGTACATGATACCCCTTCTATAGTAATTGTGAATAATCATGCTTAGTTTCATTACCCAATTCCAAAGTGTTCGAAAGTCAAAGAGCGGAAATTCTGTACATATGCATAGGGGCGACTATGTTTAACTAAGTTTAATGACTATGACTTTCACTGTATGGTTTTGATTTCTTGTACACGAACCACGTTCTAATAGTGGTGAACAATCATGCCAAATTGCATTACCCTTCTCGGAGGGGTTTGAAAGTAAGAGAGCAGAAACTATTTGTGACGGATGGACGTCGGGCGGACAAGCTGATTCATCGGTGGGGTACTAATAATGCAAATGCATATATAAATGTACAAGCTAATCGAGAGACCTCCAGACCATCTGTTTAGACAAGCTCCGGTTTTCTCGGAAGGGTAAACAATTCCTTATCTTTTTAAAAGTGATTTCAATATGCTTGTCACGTGTGTCTGAAATAAACAATTCCAGATACGCTCGAGAACCAAAATGAGTCGGAGGTTATGTTGAAACATTAGTTTTTTGGACTATTACATAGTTCACACCCTGTGTTGTCAAGAGATAGATACCCGGTCGTGTCAAACCAATGATTTTATAACGGGCTGATGGTTGTTCGCCAAGCACGCGATATTGATAAGACCAAAGACTTGTCGGCTCGGAGTTTCGAGTATGGTGACATATTTTTCTGTTTGAGCTAGCATATTAATAATCTTATACTCAAACAAACAAGGTGTGCGTGTCTCAAGCAAAAAGTCAACGAGTGTTTGTCATTGTTTTCTGTCTGCTATTCTTGTTTTAGTGTATTATTGCTGTAGTTTATTTTCTTTTTTGAATTGTTTCACATGTTAAGCCTGGTATCTATGATGAGTTTTTTTTACATCACGAGGCCTTTTACAGCTTTGTATACGATATTGGTTTTGTTCATTGTTGAAGGCCATACAGTGACATGATAATTTATATTAGATAGCTGTATCGTTAGCAATCATACCACATTTCCTCATCTGCATGTATAAGGATAAATTCAAATGAGACTAAAATTGAGAATGGAAATGGGGAATGTGTCAAAGAGACAACAACCCGACCACAGAACAGACAACAGCAGAAGGCCACCAACAGTTCTTCAATGCAGCGAGAAATTCCCGCACCCGGAGGCGTCCTTCAGCTGGCCCCTAAACAAATATATATACTAGTTCAGTGATAATGAACACCATACTAAACTCCAAATTGTACACAAGAAACTAAAATTAAAAATAATACAAGACTAACAAAGGCTAGAGGCTCCTGACTTGGGACAGGCGCAAAAATGCGGCGGGGTTAAACATGTTTATGAGATTATAATACGTTATCGGCCTATATATGCATGTAACATTTGAATATGAAAACGTAAATCAATCAGTTATGCTATATATTTGGAAACAGACTGTATCATTTACATGATTAGCGTTTTTTTTTATATAAAAATAGTTTAACGTTCAAAAGATAGTGCGCTATGGTTAATTCTGGGTTAAATTTGGCTACTTCAAAAGGGACTCATCCGTGAATAAGTCGAAAGATACTCTCAAAAAGATATAACAATCACATGTCTAGTTGATTTACACGATAGTGAAAACAGTGGGCATATATGCAGTTTTTTTTTTAACTTTCTATTGACTTTTGACAAGATGCATGATGCCGATTTGTGGAATAATAAGTCATCAGCATAGATATAAAAATAAGGAAATTTTTTTTGAATGTCAAAGAGACAACTATACACCACAGGTTAAATTATGTGGGTACAAACAACTATACGGCCTTCAACAATGATAAAATCCGAAAAGCAAAACACTATAAAACTTACGTGAGGATAAAACCAAAAACCTATTTAAAGGGTGTTTTTAAAAAAAATCATAGATACTATAATAGAATCATGGTGCTTAGCGGTACATTTGTATTAGAAAACAAAATATTTTTTTTTAAATTTACGAAATCTTTAATTACATATTCAGGAATTGCTGGTGATGTAGTGGAGTTTAATAGTCAAGGTGATGGAATGGGTCGTTATGATGTCTATCAATATCAGAAATTATCAACAGACGGGTATGGCTATGTCAAGATAGGAGAGTGGATTGACAGGTTTGTTAACTAACATTTAAACGCGTTATTAAACAAACATTTGTGCGCGTGCAACATGGAATAATTATTTATATAACATTTGTGCGCGTGCAACATTGAATTATCATTTAACTAACATTTGATCGCGTGCAACATGGAATAATTATTTATTAACATTATAACTAACATTTGTGCGCATGCAACATGGTATCATCAGTGAAATTTTTCTAGTGCATTGATGTAACGACATCAGGAAAATAAAATGTCCTAGCAATGATATTAAATACAAATAGCACATTATATATCAAGTACATGTAATACAACTCTAAAAACAACCAATGTGTTTGACGAAGGGAGAAACCCGTCCTTTTATAAACGATAAGTTAAGAGGTTTAATGAACTGGTCAGTTGTCATTGTATAACACAAACATTACTTTTTTTTGTTCAGTTATATACAGTGGGATATCCAGTGAACGAAAACAAAAGAAAATTCACTCTTCTTATGATAGAGTCGAGAAAGTCAATAATAAAACAATACCGGTGACGATACTGATCAAAAGTTATTTCTAAATAATAATTGTACATTTTAAAGACATTATTTGTAAAACTGTGTTATTAGAAATATACATGCAAATACGCGATGTTTTATGTTTAGTATTTATCGAGATAATTGCTTAAGAAGCTTGTGAAACTGAAATGTAAAAACTGCCAATCTTTACTGCATATTGATAAAATAAATTGGAAAAAATTATATACATACAAAATCGAAATATCTCTTTCGGGTCACCAATTTTCTGCGTGTTCCGAAAAGTCCTAAGAATGTTACAATATCCCAAAGAATGCTTATTTTTTCTACATCTAAGTTATCGAGCACACCGGTCTGCTCTTGTCACATGTACATTCAATAGAGAACTATTGTCTGTTCGTGAATATAGACATTTAAAAGTCTGTCTGTGCAGGTTAAAAATAAAAGATAACTATTTTTATAAAGTATGTATCTTTCTACTATTTTGTATACAATTTTAAGAAAGGGTCGTCTCGAGTTTTGTACAAGTATTTGCGGTCTTCTCGAATTATTCACATTCAAATGTTTACATGAGATAAGGTCTGTTTGATTTTGCTTAGTAACATAATTTCAAAAGTGCCAATCTTTGCTGCATATCAATCGATTCCTTTGGAATTTTTTCCCTGACTTTCTCTGAACTAGCTGTATATACACACAAATAATTAGCATGTTCCAAAAAGGCATACAAACAGTAAAAAAATAAATTGAAGTTGGTACTCTAGGAATTTATTCGCATAGCAACATTTTAAACCAATTTTACTCAAAGCATCTATAGCCTGCTGTACTCGTTCTTTGCTACTTAAAGAGAAAAATGATAACATTGAGTGAAAGTTTGGTTTTTATTTCAATTTATTTCAATTTTTACTATTTACCAGAACATTTTTCCGTTAATCCATAATTGATAGCGTCTTTGCTAAAATGGGACCAACATTGAGAAGATCTAGTTTTCAGTATTTACAGGGGAGGTAATATTTTGTCACTAGATTTCCCACTGTATATATTAATACTTGATAGTGAAACGGTGTTATATTATAGTATCAAATCAAAGAACATGTACAGGGAATGTTAACGTTAAACATATGAGAAGATATTTTCCAGCACATACATAACAGTATAACACTGATCGTTTTAAATTAACAAAAATACACCCAAATATCGATATACTAAAACATCAGATTAAGTCTGGAGATATATTAGAAAGATGTGAAAATGAAACTAAAACATGTACAACAGAATATGTGGGGTTTATGTCATCGGGACAACAAGCCGACGACAAAAATAATAAATTAAGACATCTAAAAGGTAACATACAGTCTATTGTAATACAAAACTAATTCAAAGTTTTTTGGATCAAATGCAAAGAGTGAATAGAATCAAAGAGCTTAGCAGTGGCGGATCCAGAACTTTTTATAAGGGGGGGGCACTGCCTGCCATAAGAGGGGGACTCTACAGTCATGCTTCAGTGATTCCTTATATAATCAACCAAATTTTTATCATGCCCCTCCCCCTGGATCCGCCTATGCTTAGCGGTATGACACCGGGTTTCCCGATCCGAAATCCGCGAAGGGATCCGAATCATAAAAAGTAAAATAACAAAAACTCCAAGGAAAGTTCAAAACGAAAAGTCTCTTATCAGATGGCAAAATCAAAAGGCATTTCTTTTGTAGAAAATAGTAAATTAAATCTGGTTTTATAGCTAGCTAAACCTCTCACTTGTATGACAGTCGCGTAGAATTCCATTATATCGACAACAATGTGTTCTCTAAATATACTACCGAAATTTACCCAAAGGAACTTCGAATACTTTAAATAAATCTAGCATAAACAGACGTTCCTTTTGGCTCCATCATACGGTGTTTATATATCCCAACTCGTTCGTTATGCCCGTGTGTGTAGTGATGTCATAGATTTTAGCGAACGTTATCAATGCATCACTGGTAAATTATTAAGTCAGGGATTTCGTTACCATAAATTACTTAAAACTTTTACTAAATTCTTTCATAGATACAAAGATTTGATTACTAAATTTGGTTGTACCAGTAGAAAATTTATTAAAAACGGTATTCCACATCCTAAATTTTACGGTAATATTGTACTTAAAGCACGGAAATCACTATGTGATCCGTGTAAACTCATCGAACCTTTAAACAAACTTATTAGTAAAGGTTATCTTACCAATGTTGTAATTAGATCTTTGAATATAGTTTACATTGGCACAAATATCGATTTTGTCATCTGCAAATTAAAACATAACTAAATTTGTATTCTTTTCAAGCGGTTTGTTTCGGGGTGTATAAATAAACATTCACGTTCGTTTTCTATATAGTGATTACTCTATCTATATATTACATTAATTGTCGAAATCCGGATATGGTGTACAAAAACCTTTGCACCTTTTGTTTGTGGTATACCATCTTTTCCGCAAGTTTATGGTTTTCTGTTTAGTATTAAATTTATAATTAAGATCCATTTATTACATCGGTGATCCGTTTATTTGGCAATCGCAAATGGCAGTCAGCAGGATTTAAGAACATTTGTTGTTCGACCTGTAAGTCAAATGCGTTTTGTTAAAATATACTTTTTCACTTTTTTGGTCTTTTGGAAAATGTTGTTTGTGCTGTATTTAGACCCCTCTAACAAGAAATTTGTTTTGCATGCACACGTATAAAAATTACGGTTTTTATCCAACGCAATCATAGGTTTGAACGTTGTTTTCAATTTTGACTTGTTTATATTTTTTCGTTTAGGCTTGTATTATATTTGCCTTCGGGTTTATATGATCCGTTCATCTTATTTTGACTCCTCAAAATTCAAGAGTCTATCCTAAATTGAGGTAAATTGTATGGCTTTCCAAATACCGTTTCGATTCCTAACATCACTGAAGAGACATTAATTGTGGAAATCCGGATATGGTGTACAAAAACCTTTGCACCTTTTGTTTGCGGTATACCATCTTTTCCGCAAGTTTGTTGTTTTCTGTTTAGTATTAAATTTATAATTAAGATCCATTTATTACATCGGTGATTCGTTTATTTGGCAATCGCCAATGGCAGTCAGCAGGATTTAAGAACAGTTGTTGTTCGACCTGTTAGTCAAATGCGTTTTGTTAAAATATACTTTTTCACTTTTTTGGTCTTTTGGAAAATGTTGTTTGTGCTGTATTTAGACTCCTCTAACAAGAAATTTGTTTTGCATGCACATGTATAAAAATTGCGGTTTTTATCCAACGCAATCATAGGTTTGAAAGTTGTTTTCAATTTAGACTTGTATATATTACATTATACATATTTATTAACAGGTTAACTCCTTACTATCATACTGCCTGTCGATACTTTTATTTTGGCATTGCACAAGTCATGTCTTCTTTGACTGTCCATGACGTTAAAACACTAAATCCATGGGATGTGTTTTAGTTGATTTTAGTCTCTGATGCATGATTTTTTATTATTAACTGTTTTTGGCTTTTTTTTTAAAACTAGCTCTCAAATCGTACTTTCGTGCTTATTTGGCCTGTTGATACAATTTGTAATGTATTTTTGTTATTAAATGTTTACATATTTAGTGTTATAGCTAGTCTCATTATTTTTAATATATACCACCTTTGATAAGTGTTTAGTATGACGATAAATTTTCACTTTTGTTCTCGTACTAGGAACAACAAAATTATTTCCGTACCCCATGTATACCTTACAACAAAATTATTTTATTTACCTGTGTACGTTATTTTATTTGGCGACATTCTGTCCAAGGTTATGGTTGTCTTTCTGATATTGTTTTAAATCTAACCCCCTTGTTTTATTAATTTTGTATTTATATTGTGTCATATATCCAATTTATTCGTTCAGTGTATGTTCACTTGTTTTTGTTAATATGTCTTTTGATTGATTTAACCCATTTCAATTGACATTTTATAGTGTGTCTTTCTATGTTGTGATGTTACACTTTTGTTTCAGGTAGGGTGAAGATTGGCGCCGAATAAAACGTTTAAACGCGCTGCATTTGTTTGCACCTGTCCTAAGTCAGGAACCTGATATTCAGTGGTTGTCGTTTGTTGATTTTGTTCATAAGTGTATCTCGTTTTTAGCTCACTTGGCCCAATGGGCCAAGTGAGCTTTTCTCATCAGTTGGCGTCCGTCGTCCGTTAACTTTAACAAAAATCTTCTCCTCTGAAACTACTGGGCCCAATTTAACCAAACTTGGCCATAATCATCATTAGGGTATCTAGTTTAAAAAATGTGTCCGATGACCCCGCTTGCCAACCAACATGGCCGACATGGCTAAAAATAGAACATAGCGGTAAAATGCAGTTTTTGGCTTATATCTCTGAAACTAAAGCATTTAGAGCAAATCTGACGTGGGTTAAAATGTTTATCAGGTTGAGATCTGTCCTCCCTGAAATTTTCAGACGAATCAGACAACCCGTTGTTGGGTTGCAGCCCCTGAATTGGTAATTTTAAGGAAATTTTGCATGTTTTGGTTATTATCTTGAATATTATTATAGATAGAAATAAACTGTAAAGAGCAATTATGTTCAGCAAAGTAAGATCTACAAATAATTCAACATGACCAAAATTGTCAATTGACCCCTTAAGGAGTTATTGCCCTTTATAGACAATTTTTAACAATTTTTCGTTAATTTTTGTCATCTTTTACAAAAATCTTCTCCTCTGAAACTACTGAGACAAATTTAACCTAACTTGGCCATAATAATCATATGGGTATCTAGTTTAAAAAAATATGTCCGCTGACCCCGCCTGCCAACCAACATGGCCGACATGGCTAAAAATAGAACATAGGGGTAAAATGCAGTTTTTGGCTTATATCCCTGAAACTTAAGCATTTAGAGCAAATCTGACATGGGATAAAAATATTCATCAGGTTTATACGAATCAGACAAGCCGTTGTTGGGTTGCTGCCCATGAATTGGTAATTTTAAGGAAATTTTGCAGTTTTTGGTTATTATCTTAAATATTATTATAGATAGAGATGAACTGTAAACAGCAATAATTTTCAGCAAAGTTAGATCTACAAATAAGTCAATATGACCAAAATTGTCAATTGACCCCTGAAGGAGTAATTGCCCTTTATAGTCAATTTTTCTTAAATTTTTGTAATCTTTTACACAAATCTTCTCCACTTAATCTACTGGGCAAAATATAATTAAACTTAGCCACAATTTTCAATAGAGTATCTTGATTGAAAATGTATCCGATTACCCTGTCATCCAACCAACATGGCCGCCATGACTTAAAAAAGAACATAGGGGTTTACTATAGAAGTCTAAGGAAAAATTGAAAAAAAATCAATTTCAAATGGTCACAACTTGAAAACTAATTTAAATAATGATAAGGGGTCTTCAGTAACTATTGTAAGACTAAAATAGGATGACCTGCTTTTAATTTAACAACTGGGCCAAATTAAACCAAACTTGGCCTCAATCATGATTAGGGTATCTAATACTATTTATTATGATTTTATCCTTGTTTTACATGATTTCCAAAAACACAGTAGATACAGGTGTGCGACACAGTTTCTTGAGAACCTCTAGTTTATATAGATTAGACCGTTGGTTTTCCTGTTTGAATGGTTTTACACTAGTCATTTTGGGGGCTCTTTATAGCTTGCTGTTCGTTGTGAGCCAAGGCTCCGTGTTGAAAGCCGTACTTTGACCTGTAATGGTTTACTTTTACAAATTGTGACTTGGATGGAGAGTTGTCTCATTGGCACTCATACCACATCTTCTTATATCTATATATGAAATGTTGAAACTGTAAAAGTAGTTTTTTGTAATGAACTGTTAAAACCGCTATATACCAAACATTTCAATAATGCTTTTAGTAAGCAACACTCGTAACATGATGTAAAAGATGTGCAGCAATGAAAACCAAGAAAGAATGCTGACTAGTTAATAGAAATTAGAAGTTGAGTTTAAAATGAATTATGGTAATCCACAATTCACATGTAACATGCGTGTCAAGGTTGTTGGTAATCCACAATTCATATGTTACATGCGTGTCAAGGTTGTTAGTAATCCACAATTCATATGTAACATGCGTGTCAAGGTTGTTATTAATCCACAATTCATATATAACATGCGTGTCAAGGTTGTTAGTAATCCACAATTCATATGTAACATGCGTGTCAAGGTTGTTAGTAATCCACAATTCATATGTAACATGCGTGTCAAGGTTGTTAATAATCCACAATTCATATGTAACATGCGTGTCAAGGTTGTTAGTAATCCACAATTCATATGTAACATGCGTGTCAAGGTTGTTAGTAATCCAAAATTCATATGTAACATGTGTGTCAAGGTTGTTAGTAATCCACAATCCATATGTAACATGCGAGTCAAGGTTGTTAGTAATCCACGATTCATATGTAACATATACTCTACTTTTGGAAATTCATATATTAGTCAATTATAATATGAATTGTCATATTTTTGGACTCATTATATATAATAATTCTTACATTCTTATCAACTGGAATAAATTTGGTATTACACTAACCCGCCCTTCTGTTCCTACAAGGCCGACTTTACATGATTTATGTGTTTCGTCGTCTTGAATCACAACGTCTTACAATGACATTTGGATCATTTTTACATGATTTATATGTTTCGTCGTCTTGAATCACAACGTTTAGGTGTACACTTTAGAAAATATTACTAAGAATGCAGTTAATTCGAAAATGATGAATTTCTGAGATTTGTATACTTTCAGATTGAAGATCAACAGCAGCTTTCTGAACTGGAAAGAGGCAGAACATAATGAGGTCCCAAATTCTGTGTGTAGTGAGCCGTGTACATTTGGGCATAAAAAAGAAAAGGTAGAAAGGGAACACGCAGCTTGCTGTTGGATTTGTATTCCATGTGGACCAAACCAATATTTAGTCGATGAAAAGACATGTAAAGACTGTGATGATGGCTTCCGACCAAGTGACAACGTAACATCCTGTAAACCATTGCCATTATTGACATTAGAATGGAATAGTTTATGGGTCATACTGCCTATTGCATTCTCTAGCTTCGGAATCGTTAGCACCATACTTACCATAGCTGTTTTTATAAAGTTCAATAACACACCAATTATTATGGCATCTGGGAGGGAGCTTTGCTATGTTTTACTTGTTGGTATTTTAATGGCATATGGTACTTCTTTAATTATGCTTGCAACACCGAGTATAATCCTTTGTACAATCATTCGACTGGGACTTGGAGTTTCCTTATGTTTAATATATGCTGCGATGTTGACAAAGACTAACAGAATTTATCGAATTTTCAACAACGGAATTAAAGCAATGGTTAAGCGACCGAGCTATACTAGTCCAAAGTCACAAATAATCATCTGCATGGCTCTTGTATCCGTTCAGATTGTTGGCGGATTAACGTGGCTTGGATTTGAAAAACCGGATACTATTCATACGCGACAACATACCGAATTTCAAGTTCTAAAATGTAAAGCAAGCCAGATTGCAATTATTGCATCGTTGACATACAATATTGTTTTAATCATACTGTGTACCATATATGGTATAAAAACGAGGAAAATTCCTCAAAACTTCAATGAAGCCAAATGTATAGCATTTACAATGTACAGCACTTGTATAGTTTGGCTTGCGTTTGGTGCAATCTACTTTGGTGCTAGCAGTGATTTTAAGGTAAGTGTGTACGTGTAATTTAACACCTTATGTACTATTTACAGAACTAAGCAACGTATTTCTACGGTTTTGTCTTTTTTTCTTCTAAATTTCACATGTTTGAATTGTTATGGCAGTCTTGAAATAGAAAACTCATCGAAGATATATAGAAATATGATGTAACTGATTTGAATATAAATATTACTATGTTTAAGCAAATATATAAAAATAAAAAAAGTAAGCCTTAATTCATTGACATTCACCTTCGTGTCATGTCGATGATGCGTAACAAATGTAAGAACATAATCAACATGACACGGATATAAATGTAAACTTTTCATTTATTGGTTTTTAGTTTTTTTTAAGAGTAATATTAATATAACAGACCCTTACGTAATCTGTTTAGACTTTCGGGTTTTTAAATTAAAGTTAACAATAAAAGAAATTCAATGTTAAATATGTTAATTGTGAATAAGTATAATCCAGTCACTTTAAATCCTGGTTAGACCTGGTAGACAATGTAGAATATATAAGAGTGCTATTAACTCTGTCACACCGAGAAGCGCAATAAAATACTAGTTGAACTTTAGAAATTACGATTCTTCATAGCCATGTTTGAGCAATTTTTAATTAAGACCACAGCTTGGTTTAATCTCCATAAAGAGAACATTCATTAGTGTGGTATAAGCTGATAAGAACTGTGGGCTTGCTTTCATTAACCTCGAGAATTCATGGTCACTATTTTTTCGTTTGTATTTTGTTATTTTGTTCACGTTTATCGCATTTTCTGAAATGATTTTTAATGCTGCTTCTTTTTTATACTTTTGTGTTGTTCCACAGATCGGAATTTAGAGTGGGAAAGGGTTTACATCTAAACACTCAAACATCACAACATATACATGTCAGTGATTGTTTAATTAATTATTACATGTATGTATATTTATACGTTAACTATATTATAATAGTTTTGTCATTTAGGGAATTGCAATGTTGATGGCATATTTTTTATAGTTTCTGTTAAATATTCATAACCTTTCTCGACTCATTTTTAAAGCTTGGCATATTGTATAGACATTTGTCTATCGTTGACCTCTTTTTAGGCCGGCCGTATTAATCTTGATATATAATGTTTTTCACTGCCGTCTTAGACAATAAACTGATGTCCTCCCAGACTGGGACAACATCAGCTTATTGTTAAAGACATACCAGCATCTAAATAAAAACACACACTTATCGTTAATACAGTATGTCCTAATATTTCGCTAAATTGTTGATTCGTATATAGCCATTTTATATCATATTTCTAGTCTATTAATTTGAATTGAAACTACCATAATTTTAAAATCATTTGTACCTCATGGATTATCATAACAATAACAATTATGATATTGTATTTATATTTTTGTTTCTTTCAGATTGAGGTTACATCCTTGTGCATGTGTGTTAGTATCAGTGCTACAGTTGCCCTTGTTTGTGTTTTTGTTCCGAAGTTATATATTGTTTTGCTACAGCCTCATAAAAATGTCAGACAAGGCGCCTCGATGTACAACAATTCTTACAAGTCCGGACGCCAAAACTCATTCGGAAGTTTTCCTCTTCCGTGCCCTAATGGAAACCTATTTAATAACCTTAATGCAAACACTCAGATAACGCAGACTACTTATAATGACGTCTTTTCAGACGATATGGATGATTTGTCATGTGACGAGGATGCTAATGTAAATAATAACAGTACTCAAACAGGAAATCCAGAGAATCATTCCGAATGAATAGAATGTTTTATTATCGGTCAGAACAGAAACTTTTATACTTGCATCAAGCGTCTGGATAGAAGCGATAGTAAAAGATATGTTCGTCGTTAAATTGAACAGAATTTATGGTAATTTCGAAAATGCATTTCCACCATATTCAATTAATATTCACATAAGCGTTTTTGATTTGGGCTGACGTTATAATCAATTTGTGTTTAATCCACAAACTTCATAACCCTTATAAATGTAAATGGAATTTTCTAAGAAAGTCTCAAGAGGGCTTGTTGTAATATGACACGTGTCACTCAAGAAAGAAATTAATAACCGGTATGGACATATACATATCTTATATTTCAAGAATCATAAATGGATAAGGTTGTCCTCATTTGTACAATAATAAAATATCACGAAATACAATCAAAAATATTAGATCATGTCTTTGATATCAAGTTCTTTTGTAATAAGAAGAATTGGATGTGTAGGTGGTGCTATGGTACACTTGATCTGTCATATTTGAGCTATGATCTTTCAACTTTTTCCATAGATACTACTACTTTGAAATGCAAAAGGAGAATACATTGCGTTGCATAATCTCTTAGAAAATACATCTTTCGTTGATTTTCCTTAATGCATCTTAATTAAAATTCCTCATATTTTCCCATGTATCGCATCTTCTTGAAACAGCTTATGACATTATAAAGCTCTGCAATAATACAATTCTAAAGATACATATCATTAGTGAAGCGTTATGTCAGCTAATATTCCAAAACCGCATTACTCTTCAGAAAATCTGAAATCTTATAACAGGACAGAAAAATAAATATCATTTTGGCCAATTGTAAAATTGAGAATGGGAATGGGGAATGTGTCAAAGAGACAACAACCCGACCAAAGAGCAGAAAACAGTCGAAGGCCATCAATGGGTCTTCAACACAGCGAGAAAATCCCGCACCCGGAGACGGGCCTCAGCCGTCTTCTAAATAAAAATGTGTACTAGTTCAGTGAAATTGGACGTCACACTAAACTCCAAAACATATAAATGAACTAAAATTAAAAATAAAATTGAGAATGGAAATGGGGAATGTGACAAAGAGACAACAACCCGACCAAAGAGCAGATAACAGCCGAAGGCCACCAATGAGTCTTCAACAAATCGAGAAAATCCCGCACCAGGAGGCGGGCTTCAGCTGGCCCCTAAACAACAATGTGCACTAGTTCAGTGAAAATGGACATCATACTGAACTCCAAAACATATAAATGAACTAAAATAAAAAATCATACAAGACTAACAAAGGCCAGAGGCTCCTGACTTGCGACAGGCGCAAAAATGCGGCTGGGTTAAACATGTTTTGTGAGATCTCAACCCCCCTATACCTCTAGCCAATGTAGAATAAACAAACACACAGCAATACGCACAGTAAAACTCAGTTTAAATGAAGTCCGAGTCCGATGTCAGAATAGGTAACAAAAGACACTAAGCAAAATGACAATGATACATAAATTAACAAAGGACTACTAGCAGTTACTGACATGCCAGCTCCAGACCTCAATTAAACTGATTGAAAGATTACGTCTTCATCATATGAAAATCAAGCACAATCCCTCCCGTTAGGGGTTTAGTATCATACCATCATAAAATATATGAGAAGAACATAACCCGTATCATGCCAACAACTGGTTTTAGAATAAATGTGTTTATTTCCGATGCAAAGACCCAATGAGTGAATCAATATTAATACCAAAATATGCCATCTTTAATGACCTGCCAACAGTATCGTAACTATATCCCTTCTGAATAAGTCTGTTTAAAGGTTTGGTTAGCTTTTGAGGTGAGTGCCGACATTTTTGTGCTTTGTATAGAATATTACCATAAAAGAATGGATGTGAAATACCTGAACGTATAAGATGTCAGCATATTGATTTATATTTACGAATGACGTCCTTGCACCGATGATAAAATTTAGTAAATGTTTTGACTAGTTTGTGATATCGAAAACCCTGGTGTAATATAATTTTTCAGTAATACAGAGATTTCTTTCGTTAAAATCAAATACGTTGTTACATACACGAGCGAATCGAACAAGTTGAGATATATAAACACCCTAAGATGGTGACAAGGAACATGTTTAGATGTCTTCCATATATAATTTATATTTCCTCCAATCTTTTGATCTCACGTGTATACGATGAAGGTTTTTCTTCCAAATCAAAAGGAGAGTTGTCTCATTGGCACTTATACCACATCTTATTTATACAAACCCCTATATAAAAAGTGGTGTCTCGTGTTGATACGGAAATGATATTGAAAAAATTAAGTTTTCATTGAATCAGATTTCCAACTTCACTGAACATGGATATGTAAAAGTTTGAGCAGGGTATTGTGTCATATGGACACATTTTCTTGTTTGTTACTAGGTGGATGTGTATATGTGTGTGCTTTGTTAGGCATACATATGATTTGTGTAAATAATTAATTGTAACACGACATGCGCAGGAGCAGAAACTACTTTCTTTTCCGACATACATGATTTCAATTGGTGGGGTTTGTGTTGCCCAATCGTAAGTTTTCTATGAAAAGGTTTGTGGTTGTTGGTCTGTTCGTCGTTCTTTGCGTTTTTTGCCAAAGTGAAAAACCTGCTAAAACTGGTTCCTATTGAGATGTTCCGTGTTATAAGTATATGTCAATAACAGCTTTATTCACAAGATACATTATGATGTCTTTTAAAACGATAGCAGTGAATGAAATATCTTTATAGGTAAGACTGCTGATAATTTTATGAATCATGTACTAGACATAATGCTGACTGGTAACTGAGTCAAACTAGAGGTTCTAAAGAGCCTGTTTCCCTCACCTTGTTCTATGTACATATTCAACAAAGGACACTCTCCAACATTGTAGACGAGAATAGAATTCATGACAAAAGTCTGTTTTGTTGATCTTTTATTGCTGATTATTTTTGTCTGTTTAGTTTCTTTCTATCTTCTTTAAGTTTTTGCTCAAAACACAAAAGAGGGTAAAAAAATCCTCATTTAAGAATAATAACTCTTATAAAGAGTGACAGTCTACTAACTGTATCGGCAAAATTTGACTTGTTAGTAGATCTTTCCTTGCTAATCATATTTGTGATTTAAAGTGTCTATTAATCTAACCTATTTTTAGCATTTAAGGCAAAATGTAAAAAAAAGGGTAAAAATCGTCATTAAATGGCAATAACTACAATAAGGAGTCGACCATGTAAACTTATTTGTAGAACTTGTCTTGATGATCTTTTTGCAATTTAAAGTTTCTCTCTATCTATTATAGTTTTCAAGATAATAGGCAAAAATGAAAAAAAGGTAAAATTTGTAATTTAAGGGCAATCACTCCTATAAGAAGTCGTCCGACAGTTTTAACATAATTATATAGACAATTGGTAGAGCTCATCATTCTGTACATTTTTGCTCGTGTCATATTTTCTCTTTTTATAATGGTTTTCAAAATAATATACAAAACTTGCATTTTACCCCCTATGTTCTATTTTTAGCCACGTCGGACATCTTGGATGGCAAGCGGGGTCATTGGACACATTTTTAAAACTAAATACCCCAATGATGATTGTAACCAAGTTTGGTTAAATTTGGTCCAGTAAATTCAGAGGAAAAGATTTTTGTAAACGTTAACGGACGACGACGACTAACGCCAAGTGATGAGAAAAGCCCACCTGGCCCAAAGGGCCCAGGTTAGCTAAAAATAATTCTGAAACTGCAATTGATTTATTGGACAGATTAAGAATGCTTTTATTTTCAAATTGGTGAAATATGAAATTGAAGGTGATTTAAGATATTAAGTCTTCTACAGAAAGAAAATTTTAAACAGGAAACAAAAACAAGATTGTAGTCTTCAATGCTATTCTCGTCAATTTATCGATCAAGGTGCGATAACCAAATATACAGCGAGGAACAAGTTTCAGTTTATATCATTTTCTAACTGTCCCGCCTTTCATTCCGCTCAATAGTTGTCACAATAAGCGTTTTCGCAATGGATGACAATAAAAAATAATAAAATTTAGAAAAAATGAAAGCAGGATATGATAAGCTCTGCAAAAATTTGGCCCTATAAGGTGAATACCATCTTTTGAAAGAAGCGTGATATTTAACTTTTGACCGTCTACTTCTGGATACCCTAGTTATTGTAAATAGATTGAATTTAGATATTTTTGTTTTAGAAAAGTGCAATTTAATAGAGCTGCAAAAAAATCTGTTAGCTGCTTTATTCACAAGCTATATGCTGGTTACTACAAAAACAGTCATTTCAAGCACCTTGTGTTCTGTTTGGCGCTTTACACCAGCATCGAAGCAAATGTAGGTTGGTAAACATCATTTGAAACTATATAACCTAAAGTAATATAACATTTTACGGTCTCAAATTCTTTATTTTTTAAACAATGAATGTTGAACCTGTCGATATTTTGGTAATGACAAGTAATTTACCTTTAAAGACATATATATGTATGAATGATATAACATGTGAATGCTGTAAACTTGAATTTGTAATGTTACAATTTACATTATATAATGTTGAAATGCATTTCCTGTTGAAAGTGATCGTCGGGATTGGAATGAGGATTATTGAAGTGATAACTTCGTAATCGATCCTTGTTGTTTGCACATGATTCATAAGAGAACATATTAATATGCATCCTTCAGGTAATTCCGTCATCGCTGTTTTCATGATCAGTAAATAACGTATTATCTGTATAGCACTTTATTCCATTCTAGCTGTGTAATGATAAATGCGATTATTAAATGATATGAGTAAATGATGGATAGTACGGATAAATCGTTAGTTTTCAGCCAGGTCCGATACAGAAAAAAGCCGTATTAGCCCATTTGCAATTTTTCATTGTGGTTTCATCACTCTGCTCAACCATTGCGTATATCCATAGATGTGCGGATTCGGAGTCTCAGATTTCCACTTACGCCAAATACCCACTTCAGGCGGTTCGACCCTTTAACAATGCGCATATTTTAACGCCGAGCGCGTGCATTTGAAATCAGAAACATTGGCTGCCAGGGGTCGTCTCAATGGACGCTTTTATACAAAGTTCAAAGAAAAGCTATCGGTTGAAACAAAAGATAAAGAACAGTTGTAAGAATAACTGTTGGGACAAGAATTGTAGATCTAGATTTATCTAAAGTTGGTACCAAACACCTTGACTAAAATAATTTGGCTAGGTTAATTTTCATAAAATTAGACAAAATATTTACTTTGACCCTTTGATAAAAATTTCAAAAAACTTGAACCACACACTTTATTGGAAAAATTTCATTGGATATATAGCAGTTTGACAAACACTAATTTTGATCATTGAGAAGCTTAATATTTCCTTAACAATAGAACGTGATTAAAACGTTCAGCTCAGTGTTTTTTACAGAGGTATCTCC